TTGGGATAGGTATTATAATAATGCTTTCCCACACATCTGCATCTTTTAATTCTGGTCCCATGAGGAACCTCAGATTTTTAAATCTGATATAATTTCAAAGAGAACCAGCTCTATTAATAAGTCTTAGGTTTACCACAGCCCCAGAGCAAAATAATTTGTTAAGAATTTATGTGGATTATCCTCAGACACCTAATATTTTTAAGTAAAGGAAAAATATAATCAAAACAACAATCAAAATAATCATTGCCAAGAAATATAATATTAGGCCACAATCTTGCATGGCTGCCCTATGATAAAAGACTGCTCACACTAATGATATACCAACAATAACATTTAATCATAAGCTCGTTATTTAATCATTTGGTCAGATATTGATATATCTGACTAAGTGTGAATGATGAGAACTGGCCAGCCCATTAAAATCTAATAAAAAAGAATGCCAACACATTAATCCAGTTGCAACAGCACAACAGTGTTCTGCGTGGTTTAAAGTTGCATTTGTTTTTAAAAGCAAATACCCATCAGGAGCATTACATTCCCTAAAACAAATTTTAAAAGAAATACTTTGTCCAGCAACATGCTTTTGTGCAGCAACTACCCCAAGGAATCAATGGTATCATGCCAGAAAGTAAATGTTTTTATAACTGCACCCTTAGCAACCACAAAACTTTCTACAGCTACAAACTGTTGGCTTGAAATCTGATTGAATGCTCTGAATGGTCAACCCTAGTCATCATTTATTCATTTCAGAAAAATTTTAGAAAGATGCACACATGCACACCTTCCTTGGCCACAACCTTGTTCAAAACTGAAATATAACTCTCAGAAGATATTTATGGAGGTTGCTACACTTGGTCCTTTGAAGATACAAATTGACTCTTTTTTTTTTTTATTTGTACTAACAGAAGGTGTATCATTGTCTTCTGTTTTTACCACAGACTTTAATCAGGTGATTTACACCTGGGTCTAAGCACCCAGGCTGTCATAATAATTAGCTGGTATATAGTGTTTTTAAAATCAGTATTTCTTAAAACACTTTTCCAAGAAGGTCACCATCATTAGTCCCATTTTACAGCTGGAGAAACTGAGGCCTAGAAAGGTAACATGACTTGTCCAAACTCACTTTGAGCAGTGGTGAGCAAAGAAATGAAGTCAGGTTCAGTCCAATGCGCTCTTCAGTAGGATACACTGCAACTGGCTCTGATTACAGCCTACCCTGGCTTTGAACAGTCACACTGCATGACTATACCTAAATTACTGGTGCTGTGCTCTCCCATGTTGTTAGAACTTCTGGAGGTGCATCCCTTTGTGCAGTTGGAACCGGAGCTGCTCTTTCTTTCCTCCTGGGTTACAGGTGAACTTGCCTGTCTTTTTCAGCACATGGGGGCAGGGGGAATTGCTAAATGGCTCTGGAGGACTATCAGCTCTCCAGTGATTTACATTGCATCTTCACTACATACAAGTCACATGACCAGCCAGAAAGAAAGCAGTTCCAGAGCTCTAGCTTCTCCTCAGCTGTGCCAGCCAACTGGAGTCCAAAGCGCCACCAAACGCAGGTGTGAGCAGTCTGTGTATAAATTGGACCTATACTCGAGAAACTTCTTCCATGGGTTCTAGATCATGCCACACTCAGATTCCACTTAGCCAGTGCAGATCTCTCATCTGACAAACACAAGAGGACTTGGAAATCCTCTTGCAATACAGACTATGGAAGGAACATAGATTTTCAGCCCAATCACAGTGATAACTTTTTTTTTTTTTTAATTATCATAATGTTGATATTGAAAATTTTCCAAATATTTTAAACTTTAATTTGTCTATAATTGAGTTATCTAAGCACTCTGGATTGATTGGGCTCTCTCTACTTCTCCAAACAGGTACTTGGGTTGGGAGTGGAAGCTCACTTCACATGCTTGCAGCTGCTTCTTCTCATATGATTCCTCCACTGGGAACTCATATGATGATTGCCACTTCGGGCTGTCACTGCCAGAGTGCCACTAAGGTTCCATGCCATGAATGAGCCTGGAGTTCCATATAGCTGCTCTTTTCTAATAAATCAAATAATATAGTCACTCCAGGGCTGAATCAACTCCTTGAAAGACTGCAATAGTAATATTTTTAGCCCTTGAAAGTAAATGTGGTCAAACAGGTGACCTTTCTACCATTATGAAATGAAACAGCCAAGCAGAAACTTAAGAGGTAGACTGAAATACTTTCAAAAAGCTATTCAAGATCCCTAATCATTAACTGAATCTACAGACAGACTTAATTTGTAATTAAACAGAGATGCAATATATCCAATTGTTTAAAGCAAGGGGAAGCAACCTTTTCTGTCTGTGGACCTGCGGAGGTGGGTGCACGGGTGGATGCTAGGACCCTGCTACCATCACTCTTCTCCACATCGGCATATGGAAAGCGCACACAACGCGCATTCATTCCCATGGCAGCATGGTGAGAGCACTCTCAGAAAACACCCCTGCTGCTAAACGCTGCCCAAGCCCCACATCCACAGGCCAAATGCAAAAGTTTTGTGGGCTAGATCTGGCCCACCAGCTGCGGGTTACTAAACCCCGGTTTAAAGCACAGCATTGAAAGCTAGACACTCCCACATCCTAATCACAATTCTGTCATCAATTCATTACTTGGCTTTAATCTCATTTGGCTTAGGACAGGGTTCTCAACTTTTTTGAACTCAAGGCACTCCTTGGAAAAAAAAAAAAAAGTCAGCTCTTTGCTTTCACACACATTTTTAACTACAGAAAAATAAAGCAATTCTTCTGTTGCAAAGAACTTGGAAAGATCACAACAGGTGTTTTTGACACTGTGGATTCCTATTTGAAAGCTCAGGGTTTATCTTGTGAATCATGTGTATTTGCACACCTGACAGTGCTAAGATTACACACACCCCACAGCACCCTTAAAAGATCTCACGTCACTGAATGAGAATCACTGAGCTAGTCCCTTGTGCTGTCATTTACATCTGTTTAAAGTAAATTTGTGACATCTGCAATGTTTTATGCCCACTTTGCACAGGTGCAAATGATCACACAAAGTGCAAGGCTATCGTGAATCACAATCTTTATGCACCTGTAAAGTGGTGAAAAGTTATTTAACTGCCTCATAAAAGTATTGTGAGAGTTAATTTGTTAATATTATCGATGCATTGTAAACAGTAAGTACATGTAAACAGAGCATTAAAAAAAAAAAAAAATCAGCTCCTGATCTGCCAAGACCTGTTTTACCCCTGCAAGAGTTGATGATATTATAAACGCTGAAATAGACTAAAGAACATACACTTTGTTCCATTCAGATATTCATCATCAAATGTTATGGGCTTTTGTAAAACAAGAGCTTTCTATGTATCGCTTAATCTGGGTTTATTTTTTGGCTTTGTAAATTGGCTATTCTGTTACCAAGTTCAAAACCATATTTGTAGTTTGACAAACATTTCACCCAAAAGTGAGAGTCCAAACCTGTCATCTACAGGAGTTCTCATGTGTCACAGGAGGCAGTTCAGTTCTTGCAAACACTCAACTGGGATGGGAAAATTTGGTGGAGGTCATAGCAATATAAAGTCAACCTGCAAGATGAACCTTGGGGACCAGGTCATTGACAACCCAAGGAGCACGCAGAGGATTTAATTTAACAAACACTGATGAAGCAGAAACTTTACTGTTTTACCATTTCAGAGTCTCATTGTACAAACTGTTCTATGCAAACTGTTCTGCGCAGACAGTCCTTCAGGGATGAATGGATAGATGCATCTGATTGCAGGATCAGAGCTTAAAACAGTTATATTCCTCTAAAGCAGTGGTTCTCAATATTTTTAGACTCAAGGCCCCCCACCACAATGTTGTGAATTAAATGGCACCCTATTTCAAAAACTAATTTATTTATTAAAGTGCTCACCTCCTGGCAGAGGGGCCAAGCAGTGAGACGGAGGGAGCAGGCAGGCAGGGAGAGTGTAAGCCTGCTCTTATCTCCTCACACCTGGGGCCTGAACCAGATAAGTATCTGCTTATGTCACCCTCCAAGGATCTCATGGCACCCCAGGGTGCCCTTGCACTCTGGTTGGGAATCACTACTCTTAGGTAATTGTTGAAGATTCATTCTTGCTGAATGGAAGCCAATTCCTCTGACGCTAACATCACAATGTTGTCATATTTCGCAATGGCCTGCCTCTACACTTTACATTTATGCCACGATTCATGGGCTAACTGCAACATAACTGGAAAGGGTGCTACACACACCCAATTTAAGGCCCCATAAAATGGCAAAACAGTCATAAAAGTGTTCTTCATAGAAAATTAGGGTTGGAAGGGACCTCAGGAAGCCATCAAGTCCAACTCACTACTCAAAGCAGGACTATCCCCAACTATGTGATCCCAGCCAAAGATCTACCCAGGTCTTAGACACCTCTAAGGATGGAAACTCTAGAGACAGAGACTGCTGGAATCCCGTACACAGGCAAGTAGAAAAAGCACGATTGGGACCGAACCCCTGTTGCCAAATCGCGCCTCCTGCCACATGGCGGGAGGTGCAATCATTGGGCTTGGGCATTCGATGCCATGGCACCATCAACTGAATGTGCTCTGGGGCCTAAGCTAGAGAGGCGATTCCAACCTCCCCATTGAACCTTTTACCCACCTGACAGACATGTCTAGGGGAGACGCGATTCAGAATTCGCTCAACGGTTTCTTGCCAACCCGGTGCTGAGCCATGGGGGTGACCGCGGCCTTCCCGCCACTGCTCCTGCGGCCCTAATGCGGAGTCGGTGGGTGACACCTTGTCCTGGAGAGGGCTGAGCCAAGCTTTGGGGGCGCAACACGCCAATAAAACACCTCCCGCTCCCCGCAGGGGCCCCAAATTGGCCTGGTGGGATCCTGGGGGGGGCGCAACGAGGGACGAGAGGCGAGGAGCGGGGCCCGGGGCGGCCGAGCTCGTGGCCTCTGCGGGGCGGCGCCTGCGGAGCCCCCCGGGGCCGGGCTGCGAGTACTCACGATCTCGGCCAGCATGAGCAGCCCGGGCGGGGTGCGCAGGAACTCGCGGTCGTAGGCGAGGGCGCCGGAGCCGGCCGAGAAGCTAGCAGTGAAGGAGCTGCTGGTGGTGGTGACCGTGTGCGACCGAGGGCGCTGCTGCTGCTCCGGAGC